ATGCTATTGTAAATGTTTAGGATTAGTTTTATTTCTTTTTCAGATGTTTCATCCTCAATGTATAGAAATGCAACTGATTTCTGTATGTTGATTTGGTACCCTGCAAACTTTACTGAAATCATTGATTAGTTCAAACAATTGTTTGGTTGAATCCTTGGGATTTTTTTATATACGGAATCATATTATCTGCAAATAGCAACAGTTTTAGTTCTTCCTTCCTGATTTGGATGTGTTTCATTTCTTTGTCTTGCCTAATTGCTCTAGCTTGGACCTCCAGTACTATGCGGAATAAGGGTAGGGTGAGTGGACATCCACATCTTATTCCTAATCTTAGAGCCATGCTACAGGTCTGGTTGTATTTATAATCTCAGGATGAAAAGGTCCATCTAATACATCAAATAGAAGCCAAGGACCAGAAGTAAAAATATTGCTGGATTGTATATAAATTTTAAATTTCTGTATGTCCAAATTAGAGTTGGAAGAGCATTAAACATTTTTTAGGAGAAACGATTTTGGAGCACACACTGGAGATGGAGGGCTAATGTCATTAAAAAAAAATTTTTTTTAAAGGTTCTCCAAATCAACTTACAACACTCAAATAGGAAAAACAGGAAAATCATAGGAACAAGTCATTTTTAAAAGAGTCTGTAGAAAATATTACACATAAGGCCGGGAGTGCAGGTGAAGGGCACTTCTGTGCCCAGATACATTTCAGAAACAGTGGCTTAAATAAAATCAAACCGTGCTCCTTACAGTGAGATTTCTCAGAGCCTTTAATGCGTGAATATCCACTGTGACTTTCCAGAAACGGTGTCAGATCTGGTCTAACCACAGAGCTTTTTTCTGAGCAGCTGCTGACAGGACGAAGGTGCTACTAAACAGACGTGGGGAAGTGCGGTGTTTTCTCAAGCGCTCCCACAGTGGCCCCATGGCTTTTCCCACTGAATGCGAGCACGTAATCTAACACAGGGGACTGCATTAAACAATCCCTCCGCCTCCGCAACTCCGAGTGTCGGGCCCAGACCTTGATCTTCAGTGTCTCTCCAAAGAGGGGAGTGGAGGCTGCAGAAGCAAAGGCAGTTGCTTCAGTGTTGCTCCAAGTCCCCTGTGCTTGCAAAACTTTGAGTCCAGACCCTAGGGGGTCATTTTATTTTTATTTTATTTTTTCTTTGTTGATTTTAGAGAGAGAGGAAGGGAGAGGGAGAGAGAGATAGAAGCATTGATGAGAGAGAACATCCATTCCACCTCCTGCATGCCCCCCACTGGGGATCGGGCCCACAACCTGGGCCTGTGCCCTGACCAGGAATTGAACCGGCGGCCTCTTGGTGCATGGGTCAACACTCAACCACTGAGCCACACCGGCTGGGCAAGACCCTTGGGCATCATTTTAAATGGCATCTTCACTGAGCCTAACACATTTACTTTGATATATTGATGGTAATTGGCTCATTCCCAGGCATTTGCTCTAACTCGGCACCCCCTGGGGCCTCTAAAAGCAGCTCCGTGGGAGCCAGGCCAGAGGTTGCAGGCCGCCCCCATCCTCTGCTCTGGGCTTGCCTGGCACAGACCTGGGTCTTCCTGGGCGTGTCCCTTGAGCGCATGAGCAGTGGATTTAGAAGCTGGAGCTGCTTCTTTTCATTCCAGTCCAGAATTGCCCAACCTGTGCCTCCAGCCAAAGATGATAAAAATGCCAGCTGCAGCTGCTTCGGTTGGGGCATCGCAAATGCATGGCAGAGCCAGTCCTGGGAGACATCACACTCAGCGCAGGGTTAGGGAGGAAGCAGGGATGCAAGGTGTCTGCTTAGCTGAGTCTGCAGGGGACGAAAGGGACACTTTCCAGGCAAACTTCTGTCTGTACTTCCTGAGGACTCGTGTGTTTCATCACCTGCTTCGGCATGACAGAGCTTCGGTTTTTTGGGCAAGTTTTCATAGTCTCTGGAACCAGCTCTCAAAGCCTGCTATGACTTGTTAGATTTGGGTTTTACTGTGAGGGTAACGAGGAGGGTGGTGGGAAGAAAGCAGGCCGTATAGTCACACATGCATGAAAAGATTATTCTAGGGGAAACATGGTGATTATTTTAGAGAGGATGAAACTAGAAAAGAGAATATCATAGAGGAAATGGCTCCGATAATACAGACGAAAGACGGTGGTGGCCTAAAGTAGGGAAGAGGGTGGGTGCGTTTGTTTGCCAAGGCTGCCGTAACAGAATGCCACCGACAGGGTGCCTTAAACAACAGAATAGTCCTGGTCCGGCAGGCTGGGAGGTCCAAGAGCAAGCAGCTGGCAGGGTTGGGCTCCTTCTGGGAGCCATAGTGAATGGATCTGTACAGGCCTCTCCCTTTGACATGCAGAGGGCCACCCTCTTGCTGCCTCTGTACCTGGTCACCTCTGTGCATGGACACTCCTGGTGTCTCTTCCTCGTCTTCGAAGGACACAAGTCATATTGAATTAGGGCCCTGCCCTGAGGGTCTCATTTTAATTTAGTCACCTCTCTAAAGACCCTGTCTCCACATTTGGTCACATTCTGAGGTACTGGGGGTTGGGACTTCAACATATGAATTTTAAGGGAGACCCAATTCAGGTCATAATGGTGAAGTTCCCGAGAAACAGATAATCGATAACTTAGTAATTGATACTAAAGAGGTTGAATGTAGAAGTATTGTGATTGATGAGCTATACAGGATGAGTAGGCAGATATACCGCGTATCCCAAACGTGGCACGGGGTGTACATGTACTGAAAAACTTTGTTCTTGATCTGAAATTCAAATGTAACTGGGCATCTAGCATACTTATTTGCTAAAGCTGGCAACCTTAATGTACCCAAACCAGCTCCCTAGTCCAGTCCCAGAACTGCTGGCCAGGATGGTGGTGACGTCGATACAGTAATGCCACCCTGGTGGGGCCTCAGCCAGGCAGCAGTCCTGGGCAGCCTGTCGTCACGTGCCTGCTCTTCTCTCCGAATTCCTACCGATTTCTTGTAGAGATTCCCTCCACACCTGGGCCTCCATGTCTGCCCAGTTTCAGGGGGAGACATCCTCATTGTAATCTATAGGAAGGGAGCCCTCTGGAGTTGTGGCTGGTCATGGCAGCTCTGCCCACCCATTCATCCCCCCATCAGTTCAGGCCTGGTGCAGTCAGTCCACTGTGATTGTGAAGAAGTTTGGCAAAGAAATGCCAGACAGTGAATGGATATTTCACAAGCAATAGGGCCCAAGTCATGTTAATAGGAGAGCTATAGACCCAGAAGGAAATGGGTCTTTCTAGAGGTGAGCTGTGATTTTGTCCAGATACTTTTCTAGAAAGTGAGCCGCAGTTTCGAGTGGATGTGTCCATCATCCCTGCATCCTCATTGGTGAGATTAGCTGTCATCCTCCATCCTCCCAATCAGACCCGGGCCCAGGCTTCTCCTCCCCTCCACACCCAGAACCAATGGAACATGATGAGCAAAGGAGAAGCTGCAGGCATTGAGCCGGGGGTGGTAGCAGGGCCAGGGGTGGGAGAGAACTGGGTCCAAAGACAGCTCAGAGGGAAAGCCCCGAGCTTCCTGGTGGCAGGAACAGTGCAGGAGACCCGCTGTGCTTTGGGACCTTTATTTATATGCCATTAAAGAAAAGCTTAGCCCTTCATCAGGGCCAGGATATCCTGTCTGAGAAGGCAGATGAGGTATCATTCAGTACAGGTGGGGACAGCACCGTCCCCGACCACACGACAGGCTGGCCCAACCCTGCTAGTGAATACCTGGGTGCTGAGGAGCAGCTGCAGGGAGGGGCCATGCAGAGGAGAATTGCTGGAGCCACACACTCCATGTAGTAATAAGAGGCCACACCTGCCTGGCTGGTTTGTCTCCGCGGTTGGAGCGTCGGCCCGCAGACCAATGAGTCTCGGGTGCGATTCCAGTCAAGGGCATGTACCTCAGTTGCCCTATGTCCCCGACCCTGGTTGGAGTCATGCAGGAGGCAGCCACTCGATGTGTCCCTTTCATGTCAATGTTTCTCTCTCTCTCTTCCTTCCACTCTATCTGAACAAAAATGAAAAAATGTCCTCGGGTGAGGATTAAAAAAAAAAAAAAAAGAGAGGCCACCCCTGAGTCACTTGATCTCACTTTGAGCTTCACGACTTTACTCATGAGCCTTACTATCCCTTTTCTGCACGTGAGCGAGGCTGGTGAGAGTGCACACAGGGTCCGGAGGTGATCTGCAGGCACGTGACTCACTTCCCCAGAGGCCAGGGAGGCCATCCTGAGGCTGTCTGGGTCGGGCCCACCCATGTCAGTGCCTTGGAAGTTCGATGTAAATAGGAAGGTCCAAATCCACAACCGCTGACCCAGCCCGCTGACACGAGGGAAAGCCATGGGCCAGGCATTTACATCTGTGAGTCTGCTCTTTCCATCTGTAGACATGGGTGGGCTTACTAGAGATTTGGGGGCCTTGTAGAATAAACCCAGAAAGCAGTGTTGGTGGGGATTGACACCTGCTGCCTGGGCATGAAGGAAGGCTGGGCCTCTGAACCAAGCCTGTGAGGTCCATGTCAGAGTCCCAGGTCAGAGGCAACTGGGAGAGGCCTGCAGGCCTCCTGCGCTCCTCCCATCCCCGAGGGTCCAGCCTGGCAGCCCCTTGCTCAGGCCTTAGTGCACATTCACAGGGACCCCTGACCTGAGAGGCTCTGTGAAAGGGGGGGGGGCGCATCTGAGCCTTCAAACAAGCTACTTAGGACAGGGGCCACAAGCAAGGTGCCTACCCAGGGCTTGGTGATGGGCAGGCTGTGCCCAGGTCAGCGGGAAAGGGATCTTAGACCAGATGGTTCAAGGATGAAGTCCCTCTGTGCATCCACATTAGCAACACATGGCGAGAAGAGAAGCCCGCGCAGCCTGAGTCCCCAGACACACAGTCCATTGTGACGTCACCAGCTGGGCAGCTGTGAGCAGAGCGGCAATGGCAGTGTCATTCCCCTCAGTCCTGGCCTCCGCCACCTCCTGGGTCAACAGCAAAGCCAAGGGCCATGCTCCTGTTGTCAGTTTTGCTGCTCATGTCCCAAGCCAAGGGCACACATCCTGGTATGTGGACTCCCCCGCCCCCTAGTGGCCAGAGCTGCTCCCCCAGGCAGGGCGAGGCTTGATGGTGGCCCTGTTCATGTCCTCTTCACCCTGTCAACGGTGAGCATTAGGGACCAAAGGGGAGAGTTGGTTGACGAGCTCATTAATGAACAAATTGGCCACTATGAGGCTGGCTCAACAAGTGTTCATGCGGTGGCTCCTGTCCTGGGAGCTGGACCAGGACTCTGTCCAGAAGGCAGATTTCTCTTCTCTGCACAGGCAGCTGAAGCCTGTGCTCTCAGGCTCCCGAGAAATGGGGCTGCTCTGCCTGGAACAGAATGTTCTAGAACAGTTCAGGGCTTCCGGAAGGTTCGGGCCCTTTCTGGGACCACTCTGCTTTCCCACACGTGTTTGTTTCCTAGGGCTGCTGGAACCATCTCCCACACACTTGGTGGCTTAAACCACGCGCCTTTCTTATGTCACATTAGTCCTGCCGGATAGAGGCCGACATGGCCTCACCGGGCTAAGACTGGGGTGTCTGCAGGACCGCATTCCCTGGCGAGGCCCTGGCGAAAATCTTTGCCTTGCCTGTTCTAGCTTCTGGAGGTCACCCCATTCCTCAGTTGTGGCCCCTTCTTCCATTTTCCAAGCCAGCAACACTGCAACTCTCTCTGCCTTTCTTCCATGGTCGTAGCTCCCTTCTCGTGCCTCCTCCACTACTGTTAAGACCCTTGGGATTCACAGGACCCACTCAGATTACCCAGGACAATCTCCCCATGTTAAGGTCAGCTGCTTAGCAACTTTAATTCCATCTCCAAAATCCCCTTTGCTTTGTAAGGCACTACCCACCAGGACATGGTCCATTAGCACATGGACATCTTTTGGGGGTTTTATTCTGCCCGCAACTCCATAGCTGGTGTTGGACAAACAGTTTCCTCCGATTTCTCTTGGATGAGAGCAGAGACAAGCTCAGTGAAATGACTCGCCTGAGATCACCATGCTGGAGAGGGGCAGAGCCAGCCTTCTGACCCATGTCCCCGGCTCTATGTAACAAAAATAAGGCCTCTGTTGGCTTACTTGTGTCCCTGGGTGCTTTCCTGGGCCAGTTGCTATCATTATGCTAATTTCCTTATGTCTAGAAGGAGCATAATGAGAGCTACTTGGAAGGCTGATGTGGATATTTATGGTTTCATCTTTTCCCTCCCTTCCTCTTCCATTTCACCAGCATGTGGTAAAAGAACCATTTTTGAGAGAGGACCTCAGTATTCCAGAATCATAGAGGGCATGGAAGCAGAGGTGGGTGAGTTTCCATGGCTGGTGAGTATCCAAGCAAGAAATGAACATTTCTGTGGCGGCGCCATCATCAACGAGTGGTGGATTCTCACTGCTGCTCACTGCTTAAGTGTTGAGGGGTTGAAGTAAGTATCAAGAGCCCATCCCTGTTGCTTCTGACACTGTCCACCCCCGGAGCACCCTCACGCTCAGCCAGACCTGACTGCTAAGGGGAATCCTAGGGCCGGTCAGTCCTGAGTCAGACATGATGGCCCTGGGGGTGGGGAGGCGGTGAGCCTGAGGCTGGCACTCAGCTGGGCCCTGCTTGTCACCCAGGGCCAATAACTGTGGCTTCCGTGTGATCACACAGTGTCCTCTCCAGGAACATCTATGGCCTGGTGGACTTAAAGGGCTTGGTCTGTTTACTTCTCCTAGAACAGCCAAGTCCTTTGAGGAGAAAATGTCCCTAATTCTGAAAGCCTGGGTTACCAGGCCTTCTGACTCCCTACCTCCCTGCTCCTTGCGGAGTTTTCTCTGATCTCCAGGAGATCGGTGGAAAATCTAGCGTTTACTGATTACTCATCATGTCCCAGGGACCTCCTCAGCAACCACCTGTATTATTGTTCAACAACCCTGAGGCAGGTAGAATGAACCACTGCATTTTATCGAGAAGGAAACTGAGGTCCAGTAAGGGTGGTGACTCATTCAAGGCACATGCCCAGTAGACAGAAACAGAGTTTAAATCCTGAGTCCAGCCCTTGTGCTTCTTCCACACCTGCCACACCACCTCAGGAAAGTTCGTAGACACACAGCAAGATTGACTTTGAAGGGTGAATCGAGCACCTGGTGAGAGCTGTGACCGTGCTGTGACCAGGGAGCTTGGTGCATAGGTCCCCGTGGGATGGGCACTTAGAGGTTGGCGAATGGGAAGTTCCTGGCCATTCTGGCAGGAGGAAATTCCCAAACTATTACCGAAGATTCTTTCTGTTTAATCAGTGGCATGTCTAAATTTCATTCCCTTCTGGGGTCTCTCAGTTGCTGGTACACCGATCAATGTAATCATTTCTTACCTATCCGAGGGCTAGTTTGGCTTGTGCCAAGTAGCTGTCCGTGGGCTCCTCAGAGCACCCGAAGCTGAGTTCTGCCTTTGCATCAGAGGCAGGCTCTCCTTCACATCTCTGGGACTGTGCTGGGTGCAGTGTCACCGTGGTCTGCCACACTGGCTGTTCCCCCCTCCTTACCTTTTTAAAATTCTCACATCTTCTTAGCAACAGTCCCAGTAGAACAAGTCGTAAAGGCCCCTAGATGAGATGTCAGTGTTTTGGCACAGGAAATTCGGGGTGCTTTGTGACTTTCCTCCCCCTCCCACCCTCCTCTCTGTGGTCTGTGCCACCAGTCCCGCAGACCTGAACGTCGTGCTGGGAACCAACGACTTACAGAGCCCATCTCTGGAAGTAAAGGGGGTCACCAGTGTAGTGGTGCACGGTCGCTTTGAAAGACGCACCATGGACAATGACATCGCCTTGCTGCTGTTGGACTCGTACATCGTGTTCAGCGACCTGAAAGAACCCATCTGCATGCCCAGGCAGTCCAGCCCAGCCACGTGGACCCAGTGCTGGGTGGCAGGATGGGGACAGACCAAGCCTGGTACGTGACTGCACAGCACCTTTTGCGGGCTGCTGGGGGAGCACCTCACAGGCATCTGAGAATGGACCACTCAATCTGAACAAGACGGAAGGAGGGTGAAAGGAGAGAGGGCTGAGGGACAAGGGCAAGGAAAGGAGCAAATCCCTGCACAGCAGAGGCTCACAGAGGCCCAATCTCAGCCTCATCGCGGGGCCAAGGAAGCATCACCTCCTGGCCCCAGGCTGAGATGCCAGGTCTGAGACAGCCCCCAGGTGTGGGCGTACTCAGCCAGCACAGAGCAGTCTTTTTTGTATGTTTAATTGATTTTAAACTCTCCAGTTTGTCAGGGGCCCTGCTACTCTCTGTTCTTTCACATCTCCGTTGATTCGCCCATTGCTGTCTCCCACCTGGTTTCTACAGGCATTCAAGATGCCTGTCCTGGCCTAGACATTGGATAGCCCTGGCCTGTTGCCCAGCCACTCTAAGAAGTGAATCTGTTGTTTCTTGTTAACTATTGTTACTTGGCCAAAATAGGAGGAACTGTACCAGGGCAGGAAGGGATTATGAAAGCCTTGCTGGACTGTCCCCAAAGGAAACTCAACAAAAACAAGAGCAAATAGGTAGGGGACGGGAACAGCACAGCACTGTCTCAGGCCTGCAAGAGATTCTTGGTCCACAGGGATGCTTTGCAACCAGCTAGGGCCTGGAAAATGGTAGGTATTTCAGGGGTTCAGTAGTTAGAGAGCAACTGGTGTGTGGTTGCTCTGGGCTCCAGACACTACTCAAGAGTTAGAAGGGGAGGAGGAGGCCTCCAAGATGAGAAACTACTCAATGAGGAGAAGAATTTTGAAATGTCTCTGTGGTCAGAGTTAAGGAGATGGAAATCCTGGAAGCTCGCTGGAAAGGGCCTTGGCCAATCCCTGTGAAGACTGGCAGCCAATCTCCCCTTGCCTGGTGGGATACAGGGTGCTCAGGGTGGTCGAGGGCACAGCCATCTGCATTGCTGACACAGGGACTGCTCTCCAGTGACTTTTCTAATGTGCTTTCTCTGTGGGCCAGGTGACCTAAACTCTGTGACAACTGAACTGATGAAAGTGCCAATGATCATCATGGATTGGGAGAGATGTTCAAAGGTGTTTCCAAAACTTACCAAGAATATGCTGTGTGCTTCATATAAGAATATGAGCTATGATTCTTGCCAGGTAACTAGGGAACTCCTCTCTCTCACTCTGCAGGCCCCGATCCCCTCAGGGATGCCAAAGCAAGGGTATCCTCTCTCCCCCGGGAATAAGCAGTGAGTTTGGAAAATGTGTGGGAATCAGGGCTTGGCCTCAGGAAGGGGAACATGGATTAGGGAGTGCTCATTGCCAGGTCCGTAGGACATCAGCACATGTCTGGGAGTCAGTACACAGCAACCCTATGTAAATATTTGAGATCTTCTCCGGGCTCCAAGACTTTTTTTCATTACTGGAACTTATTCACAAAAAACCAAGGAGGCTTTGAGATCCATACAAGGAATCATTTTAATTCATTCATTTAGCCATCTTTATTGAGTGTAGTAAGCCCAGGGGATTCAGCCATGAATGAGACGTGGTTTCTCATCAAAGGGAGCCCACCATCTCCTGGGCAGGCAGGTGGGTAAACAGCTATAACATATTGGGTCATGCATGTGGGTTTCATTGAACCAAAGTCTGAGATCATAGCATCGCTTTAATGAAATGAACACAAAAAGAAAACTTTTTTTTTTTTTTACTGATGCTAGGAAAAAAAATGGAAAAAACTCAGAAATTAGATTCCTCTGACCCTAAAGAGGAATGATAGGGTTTGTCTTTAAAGCTCAAAGATGCTTTCTTCATCTTGGGAGGGACCACCCCGATGAGTCCTGCTTACTGGCTGGACAGTAGAACAGGCATTTGGTGTAAAACGATAATGCAGATGTCATTTTCTAAATATTCTTTAGAGTGATGAAAAGGCTGTGTCATGGAAGGGAGAGTATCTATCACTGTGTAATGTTAGGAGAGTGTCATTTTCCCTGGTAGCCTGTGAGGTGGGGCCTTGAGAGGGAATTGCTGGGGTGGGGGTGGGCACTGAGCAGGAAGGAATGCAGAAGGGCTGAATGAGGAGGAAATGAGGAGGAAAGAGTGGACTTCAGCAGCAATGACACCAGGTTCAGAAGAAGTTCCCTGCCGCGTGGTGAATGCTGTGAGGACCAAAAAGAGGGAGAGGATCGATGTCACGGGGACCTTATGTTTTCCTCACATTCTGGACAACTGAAAACACTACAAAACAGAAGAGAATTGGGATTTCTGTTCTGGGAAAGATGAAGTAGACCCTTTTCTGCCAGTCCTTCCCATGAAGTACAGCTAAAAGCACTAGACCTTATTATAAAACAAAAACAAAGGCTCTGAAAGGTGGAGGGATGAGCTGACTGGATATCTAGTATTTAAGGAATGACACAGCGGTGAGTTCTGTGGGTTTTCTTTTTGCCTCTTCCATATCCAAGGCTGGATGCTAAAGAAACCCACAACCCAGAAATGCCCATGGGCACAGGCAAACGATAGCAAAACAAAATGAAAACAAGAACACCTCTCTCTGGACCAGGAAAGGGGCAACCTAGCAAGAAAGACACTTCCTTTTTTGACAATAAATATTCTGTTCCAGGAAAACCTCACAGTCCTCCACCCCATCAACCAAGGTCCAGTGAACAAACTTGACTTGCTCCCTTTCCTTGCCTGCCATGGTGGTGTTGGAGGCCGAGAGGAGAGCAAGAACTTTGACTGTCCTATAGCAGTAATGAGCCATCCTCTGCCTCACTTGAGGTCAGTGGAGGCCACCAGAGAGCCTGGGCTTCCACCCACCTCAGGTGTAACTGGGCACTCCCCTTGGTGTCCTCACTGGCCCAAGTGGGGTGTCTTAACTTCTACCCCAATCCAATGGTAAAGAGTTGGTAATCTCCTTCCCCCACTCCAGTTTCATAAGAGCCCTGTTAAAGCAAAATTTAAGTAAAAACCAGCATCTCATAACCTAATACTCAAGATAGGATCAGTCATAACTAGAGTAGAGAGTTGTGCTAATACATGTGAATTCAATTTACTGGTAAGCATAAGATAATGAAAAGTAAAGCTAAAATCTGAGTAAAGAATTCTTTTAAAAAAGAGAGAAAGAAACATTGAGACTATTAATTCCTAGAATAAGTTCAATTAGAACAACTCAAAATAGATCATGCACTTAAATGTAAAACCATAAAAACTCTTGGGAAAAAAAACACAGAAAAATCTTTTGGACATAGAGTGATACTTAAAACACAACTTGTAAAAAGAAAAATTTATCAACTGGACCTCATCAAATCAAAACGTTTTATCTGTGAAAGACCCTATCAAGAAGATGAAAAGACTAGCTACAGATTGAGATAACATCCCACAAAAGAATTATACTTAGAATATATAATGAACTTTCAAACTCAACAGTAGAAAAACAAACTATGCAATTAGAAAATGAGCAGAAAACACGAACAGACATTGCATGAAGCAAATAAGATAGCAAATAAGAACATGAAAAGATGTTCAATGTCATTGGCATTCAGTAAATGAAGTTAAAACCACAGTGAGACATCACTGCACACCTCTCAGAGTAGTTAAAAAAAAAAGTGACAACACCAAATGCTGACAAGAATGCTAAGAAACTAGATGCATTACTGGGGGGGGGGGCTTTAAAATAGTCCAATGAGGGAAAAATGGCGGCGGAGTGAATGGAAGCTACCCAGACCATCTCCCAGGACCAAACTGGAATTACAACTAAAATAAAGACAAATCGTCAGGAAAAAGCAACACAAAAGCAGCTTGGAGAACCACATAACCAGGGACACTGACTCAATCCTGGTATGATTGCGAAGGTGCAAGAGGGGGGCTGGGAACCCATAGACAGCAGCAGCCTTAGCTGTGAGCAGTGCCCTCGGGTTAAACTCCCAAGCAACTCCACAGCGCAGAGCCGGGACACAAGCTCAGATAGCCACAGCCACTCACCTTGGGCTCTAGCAGAGGAAGGGCGGACTGGACTGGAACTGTGTGGGGACACTCGGGATTTGGAGGGCGCTCAGAGCTTTTGCTGAGTTGTGGTCACACAAAACTGTGGTCATCTTACTCCTTCCCAAGGCTCTGGGGAGAGGCAGCAGCCCCTCCCTTGGAGATTCAACCCCACCCAGTGGCCATTGAAATGCAAATTGAGGCCCATTAACAACCAGCATCTGCCCCACCCTCAGGAAATCCCTTATGCTGAGCACCTGAGGGAGTTTCTCATTCAACTGAGTAGCCAAGGCTCTTCAAGTAACCATGACTAATAGCCTCCAGGCAAAAAGCTAGAGGATAACTGAACATTTCCTGGACTTGCAACTCTATCCAGGAAAGTAAGACTTGACAGTGGTGTTTAACATGGGTCCTCCCACCCTCATCCAAACCCAGTAGAGGGAGCCACAAACAGCAGAACACCAACATCCACAGGAAAAATTTGGCAGGCTCCAAAATTCACTAAGATAGCCAAAACGGTGAAACAAAGAAACATATCTCAAATGAAAGAACAAGAGACCCTACTGAAGACGAGATAAATGAAATGCAGTTAATCAAGTTAACAAAGCTAGAATTCAGAGCCATAATCTTGAGGAAGCTCAACAGCATCAGTAAAGACATCAACACCGTAAGTAAAGACATAGAAACATTGAAAATCAACCAATTGGAAATTAAAAACCACCATGAAGAAATGAAGAATGACATAGCAGAAATAAAGGACACATTGGAAGGACTAAAGAGCAGAATAGAGGAAGCTGAGGACCGGATCAATGAATTAGAAGACAAGATAGAAAAAATCAAACAATCAGAAAGCCAAAAGGAAAAACAATTAAAGAACAGAAAAACAGCTTAAGAGAACTGTGGGACAACTGGAAACAAAATAATATTTACATCATACGAGTCCCTGAAGAAGCAGAAAATGAGTGAGGGTTAGAGAATATATTTAAAGAAATAGTGACAGAAAACTTTCCTAATCTGTTGAAGGAAGAAGGCATTCAAGTTCACGAAGCACAGAGAGTCCCAAGTAAGAAGAACCCAAACAGGCCCACACCAAGACACATAGTAATTAAAATGCCAAAATTAAAGACAAAGAGAGAATCCTAAAGGCAGGAAGAGATAAACAACAACTTACCTACAATGGAACCCTCATAAGGCTATCAGCTGACTTCTCAACAGAAACACTATAGGCCAGAAGGGAATGGTATGAAGTAATCAAAGTCATGAAAAACAAGGATCTGAATACAAGACTACTCTACTCAGCAAGGCTATCATTCAAAATAAAAGGTCAAATAAATAGCTTCCCAGACAAAAAAAAAAAGGCTAAGGGAATACATTAGCACCAAACAGCACTGCAAGAAATGTTAAAAGGACTGCTGTAATTAGTAGAAGAAATAGGAAGAAAAATAGAACCACAATAAACAAAAATGGCAATAAATAAGTACATATCAATAATAACCTTAAATGTAAATGGATGGAATGCTCCAATAAGAAGACACAGAGTAGCTGATTGGATAAGAAAACATGACTCATATATGTTGTTTAAAAGAGACCCACCTCACAACAAAACACTCACATAGGTTAAAAGTGAAAGGAGGGGAAAAAATCTTCCAAGCAAATGGAAAGGAAAGGAAAGCTGGGGTAACAATACTCATATCTGATAAAATAGATTTCAAAATAAAGCCCATAACTAGAGACAAAGAAGGCCACTACATAATATCGAAAGGATCTATCCAACAGGAAGATATAACCTTGGTAAACATATATGAACCCAATATAGAAACCCCAAAATATATTAAAAATCTTCTGGAGGGCTTCAAAGGAGAAATTGACAGCAATACAATCATAGCAGGGGACTTAAACACCCCACTGACATCACTGGATAGATCCTCAAGACAAAAATATTAGCAAGAAAACACTTCTAAATGAAACACTAGACCAAATGGATTTCATAGATATCTACAGAAAATTACATCCCAAAACTGCAGAATTCACATTCTTCTCAAGTGCACATGAGACATTGTCAAAGATAGACCACATGGTAGGACACAAACTAAGTTTCTACAAGTTCAAGAAGATTGAAATCATATCAAGCATCTTCTCAGATCACAATTGCATGAAACTAGAAATCAATTGCAATGAGA